CCACCACGGCCCGGAAAGGTAGCGTGCGGTACTTATACAGTAGTGGTCTTTTGAGAACACAAACTATGAATTTAATTGTAGACCAGTATAGTTATGCTACCAATATAATGGATTTTTATTTAACTATATTTATATACATATGTATAACATATCCATACATATTGCTCATTAAATATTATATAACTTCCTTAACAACCATGCCATATAGAAAGAAACTATGATGTAAAAAGTAACAAAAAGTTTCAAGAATCCTGTTGGCATATGTTTTAACATACTCTAATGGACTTGCTCCCTAGAAATTTTTGAATGCAGTGTAATAAAGAAAATGAGGCATCCAATATTAATCATGAGGAAGATGATGTTATTTTCACTAATATGATAAAAGAGTTTAGTGATTTTTTTTTACTTAAATAAAACCCCCAGTGGTCCACATAATCTTAGAAATATAAAAAAGTGAATTATGTGTGAGTTCTCACTCTTTACAAAGAAATATTCCCCCAGACACTAAGCATAAGCAATTATGGCCAGAATAAAGCACAAATAATTATTTTATTTTATAAAAGTGATATATTATAATGTGTTAATTATTTATGGATAGACAGACTTTTTGTGTTAATATGTTTATTTCATATTTTACTAAAATCCAATAAATATGAACAACCAGTTCACAAAATAAAATACTATAAATAATGGTAATTCAGGATGTCTGCATAAATTTTCCAGGTGATTTCAGAGTTTTCTCAAATTATATTTGAGAACAATAATAACACCACAATTGCTTTTGGAGGAAAAGAATAGTGCTATAAGCTTCTTTTTTTTATTAAGAGGTTTTCTATTCATTTTACACATCAACCACAGATTCCCCTGTCCTCCCTCCTCCCACCACCCAGCCTTACCATTCCCACTTCCTGTAGTTCGAGTTTTTTTGGTTGGCCCACAGTCAGGACAAATCTCTCTCACTTGCCAGCCCCACAGCTGCTCAGACCCAACCAAGCAAACACACAGAGACTTATATTGCTTACAAACTGTATGGCCATGGCAGGCTTCTTGTTAACTATTCTTATATCTTAAATTAACCCATTTCTATTAATCTATAAGTTGCCACATGGCTTGTGGTTTACCAGTATCTTTACATGTTGCTTCTCATCATGGTGGCTGGCAGCGTTTCTCCTCCTCAGCCTTCCACTTCCCAGAATTCTCCTCTCTCCTTGTCCTGCCTATATTTCTTGCCTGGCTACTGGCCAATCAGTGTTTTATTTATTAACCAATCAGAGCACCACATTTAACATACAGAACATCCCACAGCAACTTCCTACAAGGTAAGGTCTCCCATGGGGAGTCAGCAGAGCCTGGTACATTCAGATGAGGCAGGTCCAAGCCCCTCTCTCCCTGTACCAAGGCTAAGCAAAATGTCTCAGCATAGGCACTAGGATCCAAAATGTGGGCTCACACACTAAGGATAGGTCCCAATTCCACTGTCTGGGGGCCCCCTAAACAGTTCAAGCTAAACAACTATCTTGCTTATCCAGAGGACATAGTCCAGTACCATGGGGTCTTCTCAGCTATTGGTCCACAGTTCATGTGTTTCCACTAGTTTGGTTAATTGTCTCTGTACTTTTTCCAGTCATGGTCTCGATATCTCTTGTTCATAGAATCCTTCCTTTCTCTCATCCATTGGACTCCTGGAGCTCAGCCCGGCATCAGGCCATGGATTTCTACATCTACTTCTATCAGTTACTGATGACAGTCAGGGTATTCACCAATCTGATTACCAGAGTAAGCCAACTATTGACTACTTCCAGTAGTCTAAGGTGGGGTCATCCTTGTGGATTCCTGGGAACTTCCATAGCAGCCTGTTTTTCCCTATTCCCATAATGTCTCCATTTATTATGGTATCTCCTTCCTTGCTCTCCCACTCTGTCCCTACTCCAGTTCAAACCTCCCATTCCCTTATGCTCTCATCCCCTCTGGCAGTGGGATTGGGATCCATCCCTAGTGCATGAGCGGGCTTTTTGGAGCCAAGTGCCCATGGTGGGAAACCTTGCATAGCCTTGGGGTAAGCAGGAGAGACTTGGATCTGCCTCAGCTGAATGTACCAAGTTCTGCTGACTCCCCATGGGAGGCCTTGCATTGGAGGAGGTGGGAATGGGGAATGGGTAGCGGGGGAAGCCTAGAGGGGGAGGGAAGAAAGGCAGATCTATGGTTGGTATGTAAAATGAATAGAAAATTTCTTAATAAAAATAAAAAAATATTTTTTTAAAAAATTATTTCAGATCAACCAGCCATGTTTGCATTTCTTTCCATTGATGTTGCAGAAGTCACTGACAGAAACTACTTTAAGAAGAAGTGATTTACTTATATTTCTCATAAATAATTAAAAGAAAATCACAGCAGGTACAGAGTATTTTGTCTGTGGCAGCAAAACTCAGCAGCACTAGCGTCATGAATGACACTAGCCAGGAAGAAGAAGACAAAATGGTAATTAGTGATGAGTTATGGTTTAGTTCCCCCTCCACCAACCATATTAACTATTGGAAAAGATTCAGAGTTGTTCAAATAGTTACTCTTACTGGCAAAAATTATTCAAACCCATGAGACCTGACAGACATTTTATTCACCTCTGCATAGGTGAGTCAGTTGTTTAGCTTGAACTGAAGTAATTTTTAATGGAAGATTGTCTCACAGTATCTTCTGCTCAGTGTGCACCTGCTTACATCTGAGACATAATAGTTCTAGCAAGAAATATTTCATCCATATGTTAAGCTTCTGAAATTTGACTTAAAATCTTATATATTTCAGTAGTATTTTCAGACTAATGATTCATTTCAGTGTTCCTGTAATATGTCATACCTGCTGTTTATGTTCTTATCATTAAAAAAAAAGTACTGAATTTATGAGGAAATGCAAAACCCCCAAAGTTTAAAATGTGCTACTACCCATTCAAAAAAGCTTGATATGATTAAAATACAATGAAAAATGTTTGGGACATATATGCATATAATGTTATATGTATACACATATGTATGCATATTTATGTATATATTAGGTTTTAGGAATCTTGATTGACAAATGTAGGATTTAATATCCAGAACTAAAAATTGCTGTAGATATCTGGTGTGGGACAGAGAAAAAACAGTACTTTTATTTAAAACGGGTTGATTATAAATGTGATCTCTTTCTAAAAAAGAAAAGGGGATGTGATATAGATATATAGGAGGATATAGAGATGATAAGATAAAAGGATAGATTAATCAACCTACTTTTAAAGAACAACTTGTTTAAAATGTTCTACATTGGTATAGTTTTTAGTTTATGTTTAAAATGTTTTACA